GACCACAACAACAACAACATTCATAGACCCCACCAAGACCACAACAACAACAACATTCATAGACCCCACCAAGACCACAACAACAACAACATTCATAGACCCCCACCAAGACCACAACAACAACATTCATAGACACCACCAGACCACAACAACAACAACATTCATAGACACCACCAACACCACAACAACAACATTCATAGACCCCACCAAGACCACAACAACAACAACATCATAGACCCCACCAACACCACAACAACAACAACAACAGCCATAGACCCCACCAAGACCACAACAACAACAACATTCATAGACCCCACTAAGACCACAACAACAACATTCATAGACACCACCAAGACCACAACAACAACAACATTCATAGACACCACCAACACCACAACAACAACAACATTCATAGACCCCACCAAGACCACAACAACAACATTCATAGACCCCACCAGACCACAACAACAACAACAACATTCATAGACCCCACCAACACCACAACAACAACAACAACATTCATAGACCCCCACCAAGACCACAACAACAACAACATTCATAGACCCCACCAAGACCACAACAACAACAACATTCATAGACCCCACCAAGACCACAACAACAACAACATTCATAGACCCCACCAACACCACAACAACAACAACAACATTCATAGACCCCACCAAGACCACAACAACAACAACAACAACATTCATAGACCCCACCAAGACCACAACAACAACAACATTCATAGACCCCACCAACACCACAACAACAACAACAACATTCATAGACCCCACCAAGACCACAACAACAACAACATTCATAGACCCCCCACCAAGACCACAACAACAACATTCATAGACACCACCAAGACCACAACAACAACAACATTCATAGACCCCCACCAACACCACAACAACAACAACATTCATAGACCCCACCAACACCACAACAACAACAACATTCATAGACCCCACCAAGACCACAACAACAACAACATTCATAGACCCCCACCAAGACCACAACAACAACATTCATAGACCCCACCAAGACCACAACAACAACATTCATAGACCCCACCAAGACCACAACAACAACATTCATAGACCCCACCAAGACCACAACAACAACAACATTCATAGACACCACCAAGACCACAACAACAACAACATTCATAGACCCCACCAACACCACAACAACAACAACATTCATAGACACCACCAAGACACAACAACAACATTCATAGACCCCACCAAGACCACAACAACAACAACATTCATAGACACCACCAAGACCACAACAACAACAACATTCATAGACCCCACCAAGACCACAACAACAACAACATTCATAGACCCCACCAAGACCACAACAACAACAACATTCATAGACCCCACCAAGACCACCACAACAACAACATTCATAGACCCCACCAAGACCACCACAACAACAACATTCATAGACCCCACCAAGACCACCACAACAACATCAACAACAGTCATAGACCCCACCAAGACCACAACAACAACATTCATAGACCCCACCAAGACCACCACAACAACATCAACAACAGTCATAGACCCCACCAAGACCACAACAACAACATTCATAGACCCCACCAAGACCACCACAACAACAACATTCATAGACCCCACCAAGACCACCACAACAACAACATTCATAGACCCCACCAAGACCACCACAACAACAACATTCATAGACCCCACCAAGACCACAACAACAACAACATTCATAGACCCCACCAAGACCACCACAACAACAACATTCATAGACCCCACCAAGACCACAACAACAACAACATTCATAGACCCCACCAAGACCACAACAACAACAACATTCATAGACCCCACCAAGACCACAACAACAACATTCATAGACCCCACCAAGACCACAACAACAACATTCATAGACCCCACCAAGACCACAACAACAACAACATTCATAGACACCACCAAGACCACAACAACAACAACATTCATAGACCCCACCAACACCACAACAACAACAACATTCATAGACACCACCAAGACCACAACAACAACATTCATAGACCCCACCAAGACCACAACAACAACATTCATAGACCCCACCAAGACCACAACAACAACAACATTCATAGACCCCACCAAGACCACAACAACAACAACATTCATAGACCCCACCAAGACCACAACAACAACAACATTGATAGACACCACCAATACAACAACAACAACATTCATAGACCCCACCAAGACCACCACAACAACAACATTCATAGACCCCACCAAGACCACAACAACAACAACATTCATAGACCCCACCAAGACCACCACAACAACAACATTCATAGACCCCACCAAGACCACCACAACAACAACATTCATAGACACCACCAAGACCACCACAACAACAACATTCATAGACCCCACCAAGACCACAACAACAACAACATTCATAGACCCCACCAAGACCACAACAACAACAACATTCATAGACCCCACCAACACCACAACAACAACAACAACATTCATAGACCCCACCAAGACCACAACAACAACAACATTCATAGACCCCACCAAGACCACAACAACAACAACATTGATAGACACCACCAATACAACAACAACAACATTCATAGACCCCACCAAGACCACCACAACAACAACATTCATAGACCCCACCAAGACCACAACAACAACAACATTCATAGACCCCACCAAGACCACCACAACAACAACATTCATAGACCCCACCAAGACCACCACAACAACAACATTCATAGACACCACCAAGACCACCACAACAACAACATTCATAGACCCCACCAAGACCACAACAACAACAACATTCATAGACCCCACCAAGACCACAACAACAACAACATTCATAGACCCCACCAACACCACAACAACAACAACAACATTCATAGACCCCACCAAGACCACAACAACAACAACATTCATAGACCCCACCAAGACCACAACAACAACAACATTCATAGACCCCACCAAGACCACAACAACAACAACATTCATAGACCCCACCAAGACCACAACAACAACAACATTCATAGACCCCACCAAGACCACAACAACAACAACATTCATAGACCCCACCAAGACCACCACAACAACAACATTGATAGACCCCACCAAGACCACCACAACAACAACATTCATAGACCCCACCAAGACCACCACAACAACAACATTCATAGACCCCACCAAGACCACAACAACAACAACATTCATAGACAACACCAAGACCACAACAACAACAACAACAACATTCATAGACCCCACCAAGACCACAACAACAACAACAACAACATTCATAGACCCCACCAAGACCACAACAACAACAACATTCATAGACCCCACCAAGACCACAACAACAACATTCATAGACACCACCAAGACCACAACAACAACATTCATAGACACCACCAAGACCTCAACAACAACATTCATAGACCCCCACCAAGACCACAACAACAACAACATTCATAGACCCCACCAAGACCACAACAACAACAACATTCATAGACCCCACCAAGACCACAACAACAACAACATTCATAGACCCCACCAACACCACAACAACAACAACATTCATAGACACCACCAACACCACAACAACAACATTCATAGACCCCACCAAGACCACAACCACAACAACATTCATAGACCCCACCAAGACCACCACAACAACAACATTCATAGACCCCACCAACACCACAACAACAACAACATTCATAGACCCCACCAAGACCACAACAACAACAACATTCATAGACCCCACCAAGACCACCACAACAACAACATTCATAGACCCCACCAAGACCACCACAACAACAACATTCATAGATCCCACCAAGACCACAACAACAACAACATTCATAGACCCCACCAAGACCACAACAACAACAACAACATTCATAGACCCCACCAAGACCACAACAACAACAACATTCATATACACCACGAAGACAACAACAACAACATTGATAGACACCACCAATACAACAACTACAACAACATTCATAGACCCCACTACAACAACATTCATAGACACCACCACATTTTTTTAACCTCACTCTCACTCACCCACTCACTCACTTTGCTGGTCTTTAAAGGTGCATTGAAAATGTTTGATTCTGCTACTCATACTCCGGCTGTTATGGAGTGACTCATGCTGCCAGCTATGGCTGCAAAGTTGGGCCGTGCATGTTATGTATATCGTTTATTGTTAAATTTGAATCACAGTTCCTATGATCGCTGTTACATTGTTGGTGTGGCTTTATTTTGGTGTTCTTAGGTTTTTTCGGGTTTTTTTTGGTGATTTTTGGTGATTTCGAAAACGTTTTGGTTGAGCCATATTTGTTTGCTGTAGTACAGAGTTAGCCTGATGACTTTAATCTAAATTGTCTTATGGTTGTTCTTGTTTGACTTGCATCCCACTGGGATTTCTGCACGCAGCGTTGAAATGTGGTGGCTTTTGTCTGGAAAATGTTGTTGTTTTTTCCTGGATTTTTCTTTTGCAGTAGTCACTTTAAGATGTTTTCTTGTTCATGTTTTGTTTGTTGCGGTTGCACCCGAGTCAAGAGCCACATGGCTCACAGGGCTTTACCTAAAAAAATAAAATAACAAAAAGAAGGAAATATTTTTTATTTATTAAAAAAAACATAGAAATTTAATTAAAAATAAATAAAAATAAAATAAAAAGTTACTAAAGCTAATAAAAAATAAGTAAAAAATAAATGCAAAGTAAAGAAACATTTCATAGAAATGTTAAAATAAAAAAATATTTATACAATAATTAGCAATTTAATACAAATAAATGAATGAAACCTCCCCCCGTCTCGTGACGTCACTTGACCTTGGACTCCCCCCCACCCACCCCCGTCCCCCCAACACCCCCCCCCCTCCGGCGTCTCTGACCAATGAGAGCGCTCGCCTGCGCGTCACGTGCCCACAGCGGCGTGGGGGTGGGGGCCACCACCACCACCCCCCCCATTCCCCTCAGAGTCGCAGCAGCAGCAGCGGCACGGGCAGTAGCGGCTGCCATGGGAGGCGGCGGCAGCAGCAACGCGCGGAGGACCACGTACGGGCTGGACGACGAGCAGAGGGTCACCATCGTCAAGGGCGTGAGGGTGCGAAGCGACGCGCGCGACGGCGACGACGCCCGCGGCCGAGCGAGCGAGCGAGCGAGCGGCTATGATTTAGGCGAGGCGCAGGCTTCATTTGAGGCCTTAGGGGTGATTTTGGAATCGATTACTCTGAACGGAATCGATTCCGCCAACGTGGATCGATTCGCCTTAGCGACGACGGAATCGTTAGTGCGGCCGTGTTGGCTCTTGTGGTGTTGAGTCGATTCTTCGCCCGCTCAGCGTGGAGTCGGATCGCGGCGCGATTTGCGTCGTGAGGTTCTTCGATCCGCCCCGCTGCTGCTGCCTCGGGAGTGACCAAGGGCAAAGAATCGATTTGGGCGGTCGGTGTTGGGCAGAATCGAGAATCGGTGAATCGACGAATATTGCCTAATTATATGAATGTTACAATTATACATGATTTGAAGCTTTCGTGACTGCAAGGATTCATATTCTTAGGTTTTTTTCGGTAAAGTCACGTAGGTAAAACACATTTTAAAAATAAAGTTTTTTTTTACCTACGTGACTTTACGGAAAAAACCTAAGAATATAATTATACGTGAGCTAGAGAGATGTTAACTACCTCGCCTGGTACACAGGAGGTCGTGGCTTCCATCTCGACCCTGACGATGCCTGCTGCTGTATATTTGGAGTCTGCGTCACTCATCATCATCATCACGGTGGCTGGGAGATGTTGACTACCTCGCCTGGTGTACAGGAGGTCGTGGGTTCCATCTCGACCCTGACGATGCCTGCTGCTGCTGTTTATTTGGAGTCTGTCTCTCATCATCATCACGGTGGCTATGAGATGTTAACTACCTCGCCTGGTGTACAGGAGGTCGTGGGTTCCATCTCGACCCTGATGATGCCTGTTGCTGTATATTTGGAGTCTGCGTCTCTCATCATCATCACGGTGGCTGGGAGATGTTGACTACCTCGCCTGGTGTACAGGAGGTCGTGGGTTCGACCCTGACTCAAAGATCACGCAGAGAAGCTGGTGGCAATGGAACTTGTTGAGTTCTTGATTCGTATCTGCGACGCCGGCAATGACGAGACACCACTAACCCTGTCGCTACGCCAACGACAAAGATCCCCCGTGTAGCCTCTAACAGACTGTAGGGGCAAGTGCTGTTAGTTGCAGCAGCATCTAAAAAAACCCTGTTATGGACAAAGAACGTGAAGAACCAGTGGCATCTACATCTGCAGAATGTGAAGAACCAGTGGCATCTACATCTGCAGAATGTGAAGAACCAGTGGCATCTACATCTGCAGAACGTGTAGAAGCAGTGGTATCTACATCTACAGAACATAAAGCACCAGTGGCATCTACATCTATAGAACGTGAAGAACCAGTGGCATCAACATCTGCAGAAAGTGAAGAACCAGTGGCATCTACATCTTCAGAACGTGAAGAACCAGTGGCATCTACATCTACAGAACATGAAGAACCAGTGGCACCTACGTGTGCAGGAGATTCTACAACTTTTAAAGCCCTTGCCTGTGTTTAGTGCACATGCCGTACACATCACATTTGCACTCAACGTTCACAAGTGGAGCAGTCCCCTGTAGACTCAATTAATTTTGAGGCCGAGTCGACCTAGAGGGGGGACCCACGCTAATCCCGAGGTGGCATGTCGCCCCCCCCTCCCGCCTTGCCACAGCTCTCCGAGGCGGTGATCCATCGCATGAGGGATGGAGGGGACCACTCACCCCGCACACCGCCAGGGAAAGGCGCTACCCCTGCGGCAGACTCCGGCTCAGGTGGGAGCCCCCCAATTCCACACCCCCCCCCTTGTGTGTGTGTGTCTTGTGTGTGTGTGTGTCTGTGTGTGTATCTGTGTGTATCTGTGTGTGTATCTGTGTGTGTGTATCTGTGTATGTGTCTGTGTGTGTGTCTGTGTGTGTATCTGTGTGTGTGTGTATCTGTGTGTGTATCTGTGTGTGTGTGTATCTGTGTGTGTGTGTCTTTGTCTTTGTATCTGTGTGTGTGTCTGTGTGTGTGTCTGTGTGTGTGTCTTGTGTGGGTGTATCTATCTATGTGTGTGTCTGTGTGTGTGTATCGGTGTCTGTGTGTGTGTGTCTGTGTGTGTGTATCTGTGTGTATCTGTGTGTGTGTCTTGTGTGTGTGTATCTGTGTGTCTGTGTATCTGTGTGTATCTGTGTGTGTGTGTGTATCTGTGTGTGTGTCTGTGTCTTTGTCTTTCTATCTGTGTGTGTATCTGTGTGTGTGTGTGTATGTGTGTGTGTGTCTGTGTCTGTGTGTGTGTGTGTATCTGTGTGTGTATCTGTGTGTGTGTCTGTGTGTGTGTGTCTGTGTGTGTGTGTATCGGTTTGTGTGTCTGTGTGTGTGTGTATCGGTGTGTGTGTCTGTGTGTGTGTGTATCGGTGTGTGTGTCTGTGTGTGTGTGTATCGGTTTGTGTGTCTGTGTGTGCGTGTATCTGTGTGTGTGTCTATGTGTGTGTGTCTTGTGTGTGTGTATCTATGTGTGTATCGGTGTGTGTGTCTGTGTGTGTGTGTATCTGTGTGTGTGTCTTGTGTGTGTGTATTGGTGTGTGTGTGTCTGTGTGTGTATCGGTGTGTGTGTCTGTGTGTGTGTGTATCGGTGTGTGTGTATCTGTGTGTGTGTCTGTGTGTTTGTGTATTTGTGTGTGTGTCTGTGTGTTTGTGTATTTGTGTGTGTGTCTGTGTTTGTCTTTGTATCTGTGTGTGTATCGGTGTGTGTGTGTATCGGTATCTGTGTGTGTGTCGGTGTCTGTGTGTGTATCTGTGTGTGTGTAGGTCGACTCAGCCTCAAATGAGTAGCTGGTGTAGCGATGAGTCGTAGTTAACATCACCACTGGGGAGACAAAGGCGGCCGGGCGTGGTACTGACTACCCACCCACCCCCTCATGTGCCACAGTGCCGGTAGCCTTCATAGGCGCTGCTCGCTGACAGCACTTGCCCCAGCAGTCTGTCAAGGCTACACGGGGGACCTTTGTCTTTGTCAGCAGGTCGTGATGCCCAGGGGAGGGCAGAAGCCGACTGGCAGCAAACTCGTGCCAGGGCAGAGGCTGAAGCCCGTAGCAGGTGACACGCACAGAGACACGTAGACTCACTCACACAGAGAGCCATAGACTCACTCACTCACTCACACAGAGACCCATAGACTCACACAGAGACCCGTAGACTCACTCACACAGAGACCCGTAGACTCACTCACACAGAGACCCATAGACTCACTCACTCACACAGAGACCCGTAGACTCACTCAGAGACCCGTAGACTCACTCAGAGACCCGTAGACTCACTCAGAGACCCGTAGACTCGCTCACACAGAGACCCGTAGACTCACTCACACAGAGACCCATAGACTCACACAGAGACCCGTAGACTCACACAGAGACCCGTAGACTCACTCACACAGAGACCCGTAGACTCACTCACACAGAGACCCGTAGACTCACTCGCACAGAGACCCGTAGACTCACACAGAGACCCGTAGACTCACACAGAGACCCGGAGACTCACACAGAGACCCGGAGACTCACACAGAGACCCATAGACTCACACAGAGACCCATAGACTCACTCACACAGAGACCCGTAGGCTCACTCACACAGAGAGCCATAGACTCACACAGAGAGCCATAGACTCACACAGACCCGTAGACTCACTCACACAGACACATAGACTCACACAGAGACCCATAGACTCACTCACACAGAGACCCATAGACTCACACAGAGACCCATAGACTCACTCACACAGAGACCCATAGACTCACTCACACAGAGACCCACAGACTCACTCACGCAGAGACCCGTAGACTCACACAGAGACCCACAGACTCACTCACGCAGAGACTCACAGACTCACTCACTGACACACACACTGACAGACACATACAGACACACTGACAAACAAACACACACAGACGGACACACACGCAGATACACACACGCAGATACACACACGCAGACACACACACACCGACATACACACACACACTGACAGACACACACACACACTGACACACACACTGACACACACACTGACACACACACTGACACACACACTGACACACACACACTGACACACACCGACACACACACACAGACACACACACAGACACACGCGTGGGCTCCGCTGGAGCGACCGCCTCTCTCTCTGCCCGCAGGCGCATGGAGCTGGAGCGAGCTCACACACACCGACACACACACACCGACACACACACTGACACACACACAGACACACACACCGACACACACACCGACACACACACTGACACACACACAGACACACACACAGACACAGACACACCAACACACACACAGACACACACACAGACACACACACACCGACACACACACACACCGACACACACACAGTGACACACACACAGACACACACACACACCGACACACACACACCGACACACACACAGTGACACACACACACAGACACACACACAGACACACGCGTGGGCTCCGCTGGAGCGACCGCCTCTCTCTCTGCCCGCAGGCGCATGGAGCTGGAGCGAGCTCACACACACCGACACACACACTGACACACACAGACACACAGACACACACACACACTGACACACACAGACACACAGACACACACACAGACACACGAGTGGGCTCTGCTGCAGCGACCGCCTCTCTCTCTGCCCGCAGGCGCATGGAGCTGGAGCGAGCTCAGCGCGACGCTGCTGTTGCCGGTGCCGCTGCCGGCGCTGCCGCCGCCGGCGTCGGTGCCGGGGGTGACGCGGCGCTCACTCAGGCCGTGCTGCGCGAGCGCCTCGTGGTGGAGGAGGATCGGCGCAAGCTGAAGATGGCCGTGAGTTGTCGTGGTGACGGTGGTGGTGGTGGTGACGGTGGTGGTGACGGTGGTGGTGACGGTGGTGCTGAAAGTGCTGGAAGTGACGGCGGTGGTGGTGGTGATGGCTGTGGTGGTGACGGTGGTGGTGGTGTTGGTGGTGTTGGTGGTGTTTGTGGTGACGGTGGTGGTGGTGGTGGTGGTGACGACGGTGTTGGTGGTGACGGTGGTGGTGGTGGTGGTGGTGACGGTGGTGGTGGTGGTGGTGGTGACGGTGGTGGTGGTGGTGGTGGTGACGGTGGTGGTGGTCGTGGTGGGGGTGGACCGACCGACTGACCAATGCCGAGACAGGTGAAATGTGCGAGGTTTAGGAACCTCTCTCTCTCTCCTCCCCCCCTCCCCCTCCCTCCCCCCCCCTCCCTCTCCTCCCTCCCCCCCCTCTCCCCCCCCCACCTCCCCCCCCCTCCCTCTCCCCCCCACCTCCCTCCCCCCCTCCCCCCCCTCCCCCCCAGGCTCGCCACGTGGAGGAGAAGGAGCAGGAGGTGATGCGGCTGCAGGCAAAATACCGGCAGCAGATCGTGGATCTCAACAGCAAAGTGGGGGCCTGGCACCCCCACCCCTCACCCCCCCTCACCCCCCTCGCACCCCCCTCACCCCCCCCCTCACCCCCCCTGCACCCCCCTTCACCCCCCCTGCACCCCCCTGCACCCCCCCTGCACCCCCCTGCACCCCCCCCACCCCCCTGCACCCCCCCCGCACCCCCCCCTGGGGTCTCTGTGGGTCCCCGTGTGTCTCTGTGGTGTCTCTGTGGGTCCCTGTGGGTCTCTGTGGTGTCTCTGTGGGTCTCTGTGGGTCCCCGTGTGTCTCTGTGGTGTCTCTGTGGGTCCCTGTGGGTCTCTGTGGGTCTCTGTGGGTCTCTGTGGGTCTCTGTGGGTCCCTGTGGGTCTCTGTGGGTCTCTGTGGGTCTCTGTGGTGTCTCTGTGGGTCCCTGTGGGTCTCTGTGGTGTCTCTGTGGGTCTCTGTGGGTCCCCGTGTGTCTCTGTGGTGTCTCTGTGGGTCCCTGTGGGTCTCTGTGGGTCTCTGTGGGTCTCTGTGGGTCTCTGTGGGTCTCTTTGGGTCTCTGTGGGTCTCTGTGGGTCTCTGTGGGTCTCTGTGGTGTCTCTGTGGGTCCCTGTGGGTCTCTGTGGGTCTCTGTGGGTCTCTGTGGTGTCTCTGTGGATCCCTGTGGGTCTCTGTGGGTCTCTGTGGGTCTCTGTGGTGTCTCTGTGGGTCTCTGTGGGTCTCTGTGGTGTCTCTGTGGGTCTCTGTGGGGTCTCTGTGGGTCTCTGTGGGTCTCTGTGGGTCTCTGTGGGTCTCTCTGGGTCTCTGTGGTGTCTCTGTGGGTCTCTGTGGTGTCTCTGTGGGTCTCTGTGGGTCTCTGTGGTGTCTCTGTGGGTCCCTGTGGGTCTCTGTGGTGTCTCTGTGGGTCCCTGTGGTGTCTCTGTGGTGTCTCTGTGGGTCTCTGTGGGTTCCTGTGGTGTCTCTGTGGTGTCTCTGTGGGTCCCTGTGGGTCTCCGTGGGTCTCTGTGGTGTCTCTGTGGGTCTCTGTGGTGTCTCTGTGGGTCCCTGTGGGTCTCCTGTGTGTCTCGTGGTCTCCGGGCTCGTGGGTCTCCGTGGGTCTCTGTGGTGTCTCTGTGGGTCTCTCTGTGGGTCTCTCTGTGGGTTTCTCTGTGGGTCTCTGTGGGGTCTCTGTGGTGTCTCTGTGGGTCTCCGTGGGTCTCTGTGGGTCTCTGTGGTGTCTCTGTGGGTCTCCGTGTGTCTCTGTGGGTCTCTGTGGGTCTCTGTGGGTCTCTGTGGGGTCTCTGTGGGTCTCTGTGGTGTCTCTGTGGGGTCTCTGGGGGTCTCCGTGGGTCTCTGTGGGGTCTCTGTGGGTCTCTGTGGGTCTCTGTGGGTCCCTGTGGGCCTCTGTGGGTCTCCGTGGGTCTCTGTGGGTCTCTGTGGGGTCTCTGTGGGTCTCTGTGGGTCTCTGTGGGGTCTTCTGTTGGGTCCTCTGTGGGTTGTCTGTTGGGGTCTGGTGGGGTCTCTGTGGGTCTCCTGTGGGGTCTCCTGTGGGTCTCTGTGGGCTCTGTGGGGTCTCTGTGGGTCTCTGTGTGGGTCTCTCTGTGGGTCTCTGTGGGTCTCTGTGTGTCTCTGTGGGTCTCTCTGTGGGTCTCTGTGGGTCTCTGTGGGGGTCTCTGTGGGGTCTCTGTGGGTATCTCTGTGGGTCTCTTTGTATCTCTGTGGGTCTTCATACCTGTCACCCCCCCGCGTCACACCCCCCGCGTCACACCCCCCGCGTCACACCCCCCGCGTCACACCCCCCGCGTCACACCCCCCGCGTCACACCTCCCGCGTCACACCCCCCGCGTCACACCCCCCGCGTCACACCCCCCGCGTCACACCCCCCGCGTCACACCGCGTGTCTCTGTGCCGTGTGTAGAGTGCCACCTTCTACAAGCTGAGCTCCGATAACTTCAACTTGACGGCCCAGGAGGCAGAAAAGAAACTCCCGTGAGTACACACGCACACACGTACACACGCACACGTACACACGCACACACGCACACACGTACACACGCACACACGTACACACGCACACGCACACACGTACACACGCACACACGTACACACGCACACGTACACACGCACACACGTACACACGCACACGTACACACGCACACACGTACACACGTACACACACACACACACGTACACACACACACACACACGTACACACGTACACACGCACACACACACACGTACACACACACGTACACACACACGTACACACACGTACACACGCACACACGCACACACGCACACACGTACACACACACACGTACACACACACGTACACACACACGTACACACACACGTACACGCACACACATACGCACACACGCACACACGCACGTACACACGTACACACGCACGTACACACGTACACACGCACACACGTACACACGCACACACGTACACACACACACGTACACACACACGTACATACACATGTACACACACACACATACGCACACACGCACACACACACGTACACACACACGTACACACACACACGTACACACACACACGTACGCACACACACGTACACACACACACGCACACACGTACACACACACCCACGTACATACACACACACGTACAGATATACATGTGCGTCTGTGTGTGTGTGTCTGTGTGTGTGTGTGTCTGTGTGTCTATGTGTGTCTATGTGTGTGTGTGTGTCTGTGTGTGTGTCTGTGTGTGTGTCTGTGTGTGTGTGTCTGTGTGTGTGTGTGTGTGTCTGTGTGTGTGTGTGTCTGTGTGTGTGTGTGTCTGTGTGTGTCTGTGTGTGTGTGCAGCAAGGGCCCCTACGTGCCGGTGTGTGGCGACCTGCAGGGCGTGGTGCTGAGCTGCTACAACAACAGCGGTGGGCAGACGCTCAACTGCTCTGCCGTGGCCAAGCAGTACATGCAGTGTGTGAACAGCGCCAAGCAGGTGTGTGTGTGTGTTCGTGTGTACGTGTGTGTGTGTGCATGTACGTGTGACTGTGTGTGTTTATGTGTGTGTGTGCATGTACGTGTGAGTGTGTGTGTGTGCGTAGGTGCTCGCTAACAGCACTTGCCCCTACAGTCTGTTACAGGCTATACGGGGGATCTTTATCTTTGATCTTTGTGTGTACGTGTCTTCGCCGGTTAGAAACATTTAGGCTGGCCTGCCTACGATCCATCCTGGGTTTAACCTGCAGGCGGGATTGTGTGAGGAGCTCACAAATCCTTGAAAGATCTGGGCAAAGTCCCATCGATGAGCTCCTCCGGCATGCAAGGCTGCGTTGGCTGGGTCATGTAGCCCGCATGCGCAGCCACCGCATGCCTAAACAGCTTTTGTTCGGCCGGATCGAGGGGGCTAAACGGGCGCGGCACAGGCTAGAGAAGTGATGCGGTACAGGAGGACGTGGAGCTGAGTGGACTTGCCAATGACTGGTACCAGCGGTGTCAAGATCGGCCTCTGTGGAGGAGGCTCGTGAAGGATGCTACTGGGCAGTTGGAGGCAGTCGGCCTCCAGCAACAACGGAGGGCAGAGGAGCGACGCTCACAACAACGAGCGGAGCGCCGGGTGGCTAAAGCACAGCAAGTTGGTACAGTAGGGGGCACAGGTGGTGCATCAGCCAGTCATCTCGGTCATCTCAGTCAGTCGACCCGTGGCACCTGGGTCTGCCCCGTAACCTCCTGCCAGCGGGCGTTCGACACTTCACGTGGCCTCAAGGTGCACTTGGCCTGGCACAAGCGTCGTGGTGACGTCACCTCCACTTAGTGGCGAATGCCGGTTGTTGTTGTTGTAGCTGAGTAGGTGAGTGAGTGACATGGGCTGGGGAAGAGATGGACTGATGGGTGAGCGGGTGAGGGACTGGGTGGTGTTGACGTTGATGATGTTGTTCATGATGTTGATGATGATGTTGATGATGATGTTGATGATGATGTTGATGATGATGTAACCACCGTCTCGTGTCCACGTGTCTCACAGCAGCTGCTGGGCAAGGCTTCGTAGACGCAAGGCCGGAACCACTCAACCACCTGCCCAGCCTCAACACTCTCTCTGTGTCTCAGTGTCTCTCTGTCTCTCTCTCTGTGTCTCTCTGTGTCTCTCTCTCTGTCTCTCAGTGTCTCTCTGTCTCTCTCTCTGTGTCTCTCTGTCTCTCTATCTCTCTCTCTGTCTCTCTCTCTGTGTCTCTCTGTCTCTCTATCTCTCTCTCTGTGTCTCTCTCTCTCTGTCTCTCAGTGTCTCTCTGTCTCTCTCTCTCTGTCTCTCTGTCTCTCTCTCTGTGCCTCTCTTTCTGTGCCTCTGTCTCTCTCTCTGTGCCTCTCTTTCTGTGCCTCTCTCTCTGTCTCTCTGCCTGCCCCACTCTGTCTCTCTCACAGCAATGGCTCTCTCCCTCTCTCTATGCCCCCCTCTCTCTCTCTCACACACAAACCGATTCGCTACATTTGGCTAAGTACGGTGGTGCGAAAGAAGTTGAACGTACACACACACACACACGTGCACACACGTACGCACACACAGACACACGCACACACACGTGCACACACACGTGCACACGCAGACACGTACGCACACACACGTACGCACACACACGTACACACACACGTACACACACACGTACACACACGTACACACACGCGCACAGAGTGCGGGAGAGGGGGTGAGGAGAGTGCAAAGTCTTCGGTGTAAAGCTGCCACTAACAATATTAAACACATTATATATACACACACCGTGTGTGTGTGTCTGTGTGTGCGACGTACACACACTGTGTGTGTGCGGATATCTGGACTGCGGCGTTGCGGGCTGAGTCTGTGGCCTTGCAGCCAGCGGACGGAGGGGGTGGCTCCAGCAGCCGGCTTGGTCAGGGTGCGGGATCGAACCCACGCACCTCCTGCGCACCAGGCGAGGTAGTTAACATCTCCCCGGAGCAGGCAACTCTCCAAGTTTACCTCAAATATTAACCAGGGTGGCCGCAGAGGTTTGGAACTGCGAACCCCCCCCACCACCCCCACCCCCCAAAGGGAGGGGCCCTGGGTGGTCGCCTTCACGCCCCTCCTCCTCACCCCCCCACCTCCACCCCCCCATCCCCCTATTCGATGAGTGGGTGAGTGAGTGAGTGGGTGAGCGAGTGTGTAAGTGAGCGAGTGTGTGAGTGAGTGTGTAAGTGAGCGAGTGGGTGGGTGAGCGAGTGTAAGTGAGTAAGCGAATGGCTGAGTGTGTGAGTGAGTGAGTGTGTGGACGAGTGGGTATGTGACTGAGTGTGAGTGAGTGTGTGAGTGTATGAGTGGCTGAGTTTGTGTGTGTGAGTGTGAGTGAGTGGGTGAATGTGTAAGTGAGTGAGTGAGTGGCTGCGTGTGTTAGTGTATAAGTGAGTGGCTGAGTGTGTGAGTGTATGAGTGGGTGTGTGGGTGAGTGGGTGAGTATGTGTGTGAGTGTGTGAGTGTATGAGTGGGTGGGTGAGTGAGTGGGTGTGTGAGTGGGTGTAAGTGAGTAAGCGAATGGCTGAGTGTGTGAGTGAGTGAGTGTGTGGACGAGTGGGTATGTGACTGAGTGGTGTGTGAGTGTATGAGTGGCTGAGTTTGTGTGTGTGAGTGTGAGTGAGTGGGTGAATGTGTAAGTGAGTGAGTGAGTGGCTGCGTGTGTGAGTGTATAAGTGAGTGGCTGAGTGTGTTAGTGTATGAGTGGGTGTGTGGGTGAGTGGGTGAGTATGTGTGTGAGTGTGTGAGTGTATGAGTGGGTGGGTGAGTGAGTGGGTGTGTGAGTGGGTGTAAGTGAGTAAGCGAATGGCTGAGTGTGTGAGTGAGTGAGTGTGTGGACGAGTGGGTATGTGACTGAGTGTGTGAGTGTATGAGTGGCTGAGTTTGTGTGTGTGAGTGTGAGTGAGTGGGTGAATGTGTAAGTGAGTGAGTGAGTGGCTGCGTGTGTGAGTGTATAAGTGAGTGGCTGAGTGTGTGAGTGTATGAGTGGGTGTGTGGGTGAGTGGGTGAGTATGTGTGTGAGTGTGTGAGTGAGTGTGTGAGTGTATGAGTGGGTGGGTGAGTGAGTGGGTGTGTGAGTGGGTCTAAGTGAGTAAGCGAATGGCTGAGTGTGTGAGTGAGTGTGTAAGTGAGTGGCTGAGTGTGTGTGAGTGAGTGTGTAAGTGAGTGAGCGAGTGGCTGAGTGTGTGAGTGAGTGTGTAAGTGAGTGAGCGAGTGGCTGAGTGTGTGTGAGTGAGTGTGTAAGTGAGTGAGCGAGTGGCTGAGTGTGTGTGTGAGTGAGTGTGTAAGTGAGTGAGCGAGTGGCTGAGTGTGTGTGTGAGTGAGTGGGTGAATGTGTAAGTGAGTGAGTGGCTGCGTGTGTGAGTGTATAAGTGAGTGTGTGTGTGAGTGGCTGAGTGTGTGAGTGTGTGGCTGAGTGAGTGTGTGAGTGAGTGTGAGCGAGTGGGTGAGTATGTGACTGAGTGTGTGAGTGTGTGGCTGAGTGAGTGTGTGAGTGAGTGTGTGGGTGAGTGGGTGAGTATGTGACTGAGTGTGTTGAGTGTATGAGTGGCTGAGTGTGAGTGTGTGAGTGGATGAGTGGTGGAGTCAGCAGAGCTTGCGAGTCCCAAGTCTCGTGGCTGCCGAGGAAGGTTCGATTCCGTGCCCTGGCCATGCCTCTCACTTCACTACACCCACCCACACATTACCCACCTACTCCTGTAGTAGTAGTAGTGGAGGGTGTAGTGGGTCTCTGGATCTGTGAGTCTCTGGGTCTCTGTGGGGAGGGTGCAGATGTCGCAACCGGTACCCGATACCCGTACCCTACCTGATACCCGTACCCGGCCGGCCAGGTACGGGTACCCAATTGCGACCCTGGTGCGGCCGGGTACAGGTAGGCCGTGAGTCACTGGTGAGTCACCGTTTGTCACTCATTTCCCAACGTCTTGTCTCTTCTCACAATTCAAGTTCCGGGAATCAACCCACCCGCGCCTGCAACATGGCTTCATCCCAGAGGTCGCAATCGGGTACCCGATACCCGTACCCTACCCGTACCCGGCTGGGTACGGGTAGGGTACGGGTACGGCCGGGTACGGGTACCCGTTTGCGACCCTGGTGCGGCCGGGTACTGCTACGGGTAAGGAATCAAAACCCGTTTGCGACCTCTGGGAGGGTGCTTCCAGCTCAGACACCGCATCAGCAGCAGCAGCGATCCTGTGAGGCAATCATCACGTGTCGAGTGGCAACATCTTGAACAAGAAATAAACCCCCGAAGTGAACTCAATACGGCCAATAAAACGATGCTGCTTCGTTTGATTTTTTTTTGTGTTTTACGACGTTTATCGGTTTTTTTACGGCCTCTTTTAAAGCTGCCACGAGCCTCACGTTCGATCACCGCCACCTTCATCGCCATCACCGCCACCACCATCATCATCACCGCCATCACCACCACCGCCACCATCATCATCGCCATCACCACCACCACCATCATCATCGCAGTCGTCGTCGTCATCAAAGCGATCATGAAAGGCCGTGCCCAGTTTATAATGCCTCTGCATGCCACGGGAACCATTGTTGAAGCGCCTGAGGACCACGTGGTGTCCTGACCACGTGGTGTCCTGACCACGTGGTGTCCTGACCACGTGGTGTCCTGACCCGAAAAAAACCACGTGATGTCTTAACCACGTGGTGCTGCCCGAAAAAAAACCACGTGGTGTCCGAATCACGTGGTGCTGCCCCGAAAAAAAACCACGTGATGTCCGGACCACGTGGTGCTGCCCGAAAAAAAACCACGTGGTATCCGAATCACGTGGTGCTGCCCCGCTGGGGGGCCGGACAAGCCCCCCTCTGTAGCAGCGTGGACGTCACCCTCGTGGTGTTCACCTTCTGAAGCGCTCGCTCGTCACCGCGGCGTGCGTGTTGACCACCACCACCAGAACCACCACAACCACCACCACAACCACCACCACAACCACCACAACCACCACCACCACCACAACCACCACAACCACCACAACCACCACCACAACCACCACCACAACCACCACAACCACCACCACCACCACAACCACCACAACCACCACAACCACCACCACAACCACCACAACCACCACCACAACCACCACCACAATCACCACCACAACCACCACCACCACCACCATCACCACCACAACCACCACAACCACCACCATCACCACCACAACCACCACAACCACCACAACCATCACCACAACCACCACAACCACCACCATCACCACCACAACCACCACAACCACCACCACAACCACCACAATCACCACAACCACCACCACAACCACCACCACCACAACCACCACCACAACCACCACCACAACCACCACCACAACCACCACCATCACCACCACAACCACCACAACCATCACCACAACCACCACAACCACCATCACCGCAACCACCACCACCACAACCACCAAAACCACCACCACGTGACTTAGCTTTTGTGTTGTGCGTGGTGCATTTAGCGCCACAGCGCGTAGATTTGTAGCGTTTGTTATTTATTTGCTGGTGACTTTGTGTGTGTCGCGTATCGGAATCGCCTCCAGTGATGTTGCTGCTGGCGGCAATAAAAGTTGTTTAAAAGTCAAAGTCTCCTCCACTCTCTCATCCACTCATCCACTCTCTCCGTCTCTCTCCTCCACTCTCTCTCCTCTCTCGCTTGTCAGAATCATCGTCACAATCGTCGTGATAATTTCGTCGTCACAATCGTCATTCGCCGTCACAGTCGTAAATACGTCGTCGTAATCGTAAATAATCGTCAAGAATCGTCGTCGTCGTCGTCATAATCGCGGCCGAGATGAAGCGGTCGCCGCTGCTGGGGTCGCTGTTCCTCTTCACCTGCCTGACGACACTCATGCTGACTCCAGCAGCAGGTGTGGTGGTGGTGGCGGTGGTGGTGGTGGTGACGGTGGTGATGGTGGTGGTGGTGATGGTGGTGGCGGTGGTGATGGTGGTGATGGTGGTGGCGGTGATGGTGGTGATGGTGGTGATTTTGGTGATAATGGATGTGATGATGATGGTAATGATGATGTTGGTAATGCTGGTTATGATGGTGATGATGTTTATGCTGGTGATGATTTGGTGATGGTCGTGGTGATGATGATTTTAGGTGAGTGGGTGGGTAGGTGAGTGGGTGGGTGAGTGAGTGAGTGAGTGGGTGAGTGAGTGAGTGGGTGAGTGAGTGGGTGGGTGGGTGAGTGGGTCGGTAAGTGAGTTGGTGGGTGAGTGAGTGGGTGTGTCAATGTGTGGTGCATGTGGGTGAGTGGGTGAGTGTATGAGTGAGTGAGTGGGTGGTGAGTGGGTGGGTAGGTGAGTGGGTGGGTAGGTGAGTGGGTGGGTGGGTGGATAGGTGAGTGGGTGAATGAGTGAGTGGGTGGGTAGGTGAGTGGGTGAGTGAGTGGGTGCGTGGGTGTATGATTGGGTGAGTCAATGTGTGGTGTGGTCTGTGTGGTGTGAGTGTGGTGGTGTGTGTGTGGTGTGTGTGTGGTGTGTTTGATGTGTGTGTGATGTGTGTGAGATGTGTGTGTGTGTGATGTGTATGTGATGTGTGTGTGTGGTGTGTGTATGATGTGTGTGTGTGATGTGTGTGTGTGATGTGTGTGTGATGTGTGTGTGTGGTGTGTGTATGATGTGTGTGATGTGTGTATGATGTGTGATGTGTGTGGTGTGTGTGATGTGATGTGTGTGTGTGGTGTGTGTATGATGTGTGTGATGTGTGTATGATGTGTGATGTGTGT